ATTTTAGAGTTTTGCACAAATACATTTTCAGAGCTAAGTAAACAATGCCGCCCATTATCTAGATATATTGTTTATGCCTTTTTGCGCTCCGTGGCTTGGTTGTGCAAGTGAGTGAAGGAGAGATGGAAAGACGTAGAAGTGGAAAGAAAAAAAAGAGAGAAAGAAGCGAGAGGAGAGATCCTTTTTCTAAGAGACGTCAGTTCTGTAAACAGCACTGGCACATTTTCCATTCCGTCAGCATTTTTCTTTACGTGCCGAACAGATAGCTAAAGGTACCACTTAATGTGATGGGAGACAGGATCTAATGGATTGATACACAGGTTTTGACATGCTATTTGAGCATGGAGCTCACTATAATTGGTCATGTCATTGTGCATTAAACTAACAATATATAGAGTACTGCCCTGAGACGAGTGTCTTTAGCAAATCTGTCAGATATCACACCAAAATACCTCTGACAGCTATCTCAGGCAGCATCGGAGCACTGCAACACAGCAGCATGAAACACACAGAGAGAAATCACATCATCTGAAACCTCATTGTCTCTTGCTGCTGCTTTATTTTTTATTTTTTTACCTCTCACACTCCCAGGCTCTGGCAAAATCTTTAATAATTCACTCATAAATTGCATGTTTTTCTAAAGATGTTACAAATAGTCCCTCCTGTCTTTCCGTGACCGTTGCAGTCGCTTTAATAGATACATGTTACTTCTGCTGGGGTCAGAGGTACAAGGTGATGCCAACTTGGCTATGTCCCTGACTTCTGCACTGCTGTCAGAAGACATCATGCAGCTTTTGGAGGCTACTTGTATTGGCGACACTCGGCACACACGTCGTCTTCCATGTTGGCACACAAAGGTACAAGGAGGCCTTTCAGGCTTGTGTTGTTTGTGGAGATAAAAAATCAACGTTGCAAACAAGCCCCCACAATGCGGCTCAAAAATTGAGGCCAACTCGGAAGTAACAAAAATTGCAGTTCCACCCTCATCCGCTGGGGGCTGGTGCCAGAAGCGAGCAAATCCTCATTGACTCCCATGTTAAAAATACCAATTTCACAGCAGAAATAAACATGTTTACAGCCTGGTACCAGAACAACTTTTTGGTTTAAATTATCTAGTTTACACTCATGACAACTCTGAGGGGGTGAATTTTTTCCTCACTCTTCTGTTTAAGTGTATTAAAAGCCTAAAATTCTGTATAATTAATGAGCATCAGACCCACGTGACCGCCGCCTCAGACCCACGTGACCACAGAGCTAGCTCCGTGGAAAGGCCTCAGTAGAGCCTCGGCCTGGCCTGGAAACTGTTCCGGGATATTGAGTCTCTGTGTGTGTGTATTCTTTTTTGGATATTATTTGTGCAATTGTTGGACAAAATTACTTGCTGTGGCATTAATTGCACTAATAGAGCGTCCAAGGAGTCTCCACTTCATTTTTTTCGGTAAGTAAAATTATATTTATGTATTTTAGGTCACTGCCGAGCTGAGCTTAGATTTTAACATGTACTGTTTAACCATGACATTTAAATGTAATAGGGTAAACCCAGTGCATTTAACATAATGCTGCACTTTAGAAAATGGGTTGAAATATAACATGTTGGTGGAGCTGGGTTCCGACTATCGGCTTGTGGAGCTCTCGGGAGACAGATGTTTTCCACCCGTTTCTCCCCTCCCCGCAGCCCTGTCCATCTCTGTCTGATCGCGGCTTCTGTGTGCTGCGCGGGCTGCCGGCTTTCAGCAGCTTTCGGGAGACCTCTGTGTTCCACCCGGTTTTACCCAGCGGTCAGCCCGGCGTATCTCTGACTCAGAAGCTCTGGTGTTGTGCACAGTTAACTCTGGTTGTAGCTAGGTTGCTACCTCCGTTAGCTTAGCTACCACCTCCGCGTTAGCTTTGGGTTAGCTTGACCGGGTGTCGTCAGTTGATCCCAGCCTTACAGCCACACCCTCAGCTCCACCTCTCTTCCCTTTTGTGGAATCGTCTGGGCTTGACGGAACCTGTGACACGGTCAAAATGGCGGTGGTGGCCACCTCCCATTTAGCCTCAAAAATGTATTATTGGAGTCTATGGAAACCAGTTGTCCAATATTTATATGTTGATGATTGCAAAGCAAATGGAGTCAGTGGTAGAGCCGCATTGCTTTATCCAATCAGCAGCAAGATGCTCAAATATCAGGAAATAAGACTGAAGCTACATTATCCTCTAGCTGAATTCTCCGTGCTGAAACAGACGCACCGGTGCTTTTTCCCCCAGAGCACGACTTAGACTGCTAAAAATAAAGGTTCCGGTTAGACCCAAAGACGGTTCTTCACAGAGATGCCATAGGGGAACCTTCTTTGGTTCTCCAAGAAACCTTTTGCCTATTGGTTCCTCAAAGAACCATTGGTTCTTTAATTAACTTTTATTTGGTTCTCTGTGGGACCTCACATATAGAACCTTTTAGGGTTCCACAAATTATCAAAAGGTTCTATGAAGAACTAATTCAGTTGGGTGATTCAGAGAACCTGAAAAAGTTATTTAAAGAACATCATTAGATTCTCTGTGGAACCTTAAAATCAGAACCTTTTAGGGTTCCTTAAATAACCATTTCTCAAGGGGTTCTCTGAAGAACCAATTCATTTCGGTGCTTCAGAAAAAGTTTTTTTTGGGTGTATGATGCATTTATTCCTACTAGACCACTGCAAGTATATTAAAATATGATTGAATGGTCTCTTTAAGAGGCACAGTAGTTTTTAAAGTTCTTAACAATGGTGGCACGCAAAAGATAGCGTTAAATCGCCTTTAAGTAACGTTTCTTCACAATCTGTTGATTTTTCAAAAAGAAATTAATCAGATTATCTCAACACTTTGGTAAATGTGACCAAATTGACTATTCGAGGACTTTTGGAGACACTTTTGTTTGCAGCACAGGTTACAGTTCATGCGTGCACGCACGCACACACACACACACACACACACACTATTTGTCAATGTTCTCTAAAGAAATCCCCCGTCTATTTTGGCAGCCATTTTGTTTCCCTAAATAGATCGTTTCTCCTCCTGAGTTGTCTTTCTTTCGGCGCTGTCATCCGCTCTTCTGTGATTGGTCTGATGGGCTTGATGCTCATCACTCTGTCAGGCTGCGCTCGCCTTTCATTAGTCTGGGCCCCTCCATCCGCCACAGTCACACAAATCACATTGACATCCAAACTCCTCAGATCCACAGAGCAATTTAACTGATATTCATTAGAGGGATGACAAGAGCTGATGGGAGATGTGTGGAATGGAGGAGAGGGGGACTCATTGTCCTCCTATCCTATCCCTGTCCTGTCCGCCTCTTTTCATCCCCTTTCACTGCCGACTTTGTTTTAGGAGCATTGAGGCGAATCGACTTTTATAACTATCCAGCCCTCAAGGATGGTCGAGACAAAAAGAAAATGGATAACAGAGCTAATATCTTCTTTATTATCACTAAAAGATATGATTGAAAGGTTTGTGTTTTTCATGCTACATAATTGTCTACAGCAGCTTCTACGTTGTTCTCCAGCAGCCGCTATAATGCTCATTCAAGCAGAAGTCCAATCATTTATCCCTCTCCCTCCAGCCCCTCATTAACCCCCAAAGTGTCAACTATCTCATTAATGCCTCCAACTATCTTCACCCCAAGTCCATCACTTGGCCTAAAGCATCACCAACAAGTAGGAGTGCCGAAAAATAATTGATCAAGTCCGTAGGATAATTTTCTATCCGCAAGGACCCAGTGAGTTCTGAGAACTCAAGATATTCAATAAGGCTGCTCGGCCTTTTTCATTAGCATTATCAATGGCTACCGGCTTGAATCTCATCTTTCAATTAGCATCCTTTGTTAAAGGCTTTATTCTGCTTGTCAGATATGAGTCATCACCGGGTTGTCCCGCAACGTTTCACCAATGTATCCTAAACGTCGGAGGGCCGGGAGCGAGTCTGAGGCGGTAATGAGTTTGTGTGAGAAGACGGGGTCAGGACACAGTGTGTGTGTGTGTTAATTAATCTGTTCCCGGGTGGGAGGAACTGAAGCGAGATGATGAGATTTAAGAGAGTAAATGGGTGTGCTGCACTCGAGCTGTCCTCTGTTGAGTGAGTGAGCGGGGTTAGAGGCTGGGCAAATGGCCGTCACCATAGTAACCAGATAACTTCCCCGGCCTCAAGTCACTCAGTCAGTCAGTCATGACAAGCAAAGCCTGGGAAGATCAAACAAAAAGAACACCATGTCCCCCGGCATCTTCAAATAAGACAGAGGTGGATCGTCGCAAATTTAAGGAGTAGCTGTGTTTGTGTGAGTCTACCTTCATTATGCAGTGAAAAAAAACCCTCTCATTACATGGCACTGAGCCTGAATTGTGACTACTCTGATAGCATCACCACCTGCCAGTAATATTGTTAGATCCAAAAGCCTGCATTGAGGGAATAGCACCTCTGTCAGCTTGTCTCAGCACGCATATATAGGATCCACTTTATGTTTTCCAAGGGACAGTCTTAGAGTCCAGGTGTGTGCCAGATCTGCTGTCTGTGCCCAGGGCTCCTGATGGCTTCCAAGCCCCCGTGGTAATCAGCCCACTCTGCCTGCTGTTGGAGCTCGCCTGCCTCCTTCTCCTCCTCCTCCAGTGGCTCGTTTCAGAAACATCTGGTGGTTTACATGCAGCACGCACCACCTGCCAGACGCCTTGCAGGCAGTGGCACCACTTGTACCTCTACAGAGTCGACCCCTCCTCCCCACCCACAACAACGTCACGGATGTCGCTTGAAAATTTGTGGCCGCGCAGAAGAAAGATCTGCTCAATGTTTCAGCAGCGGTGTCCTAGCGAGGAAACCGTCAACTGATCTGAAAGCGTTTGGTCATGAAACTGTGGGACAACAGCGAGATTTGTCATTTAATTCATGCCATCGCAGGTGTTTCTTGCTCTTTACAATGTTTCTGCTTTGAAAAAAGTTCATTTAAAATCCTGAAAACACAAATTTATTTCATTGACAAGCATGAGAGGAGACTATTTTTTTCCGCAGCAGTTAATTCAATTTAATCATAGAAGCACAAGGCATCAACATATCTGTATTGTGTTTTTTATATCAAATAACATTTATAAAACTATTGTGCAAAACAGTGTCCTTTTAATCTTCTTCAAAGGCTCTGCACCAGTGGATAGTCATAGTCCTCTTAAATTAGGAAATATAACAAGTATGCATAATTTAAACAGTTAATTGTCAGGTTACACAATTTATATATACATTTGTACACAGACCTGGATTTTAAGTGCCCCTTACTCAATGATAATGAATAAGGCAGATTTTACAATCAGCAAGAAAATTGATAAAACAATAAAGAAAAGTGATGTACTTCCATAGTTTGGCAGTTTCTTTGAAGGAGCTCTCCCAGGAATTTGGCTGCTCTTAAGGTGACGACAAGTTCTGAAATGGCATTTTCCAATCTCGACAGGACAGAACGGGACCGCACAAACGTAACAGTTAAACATGCAGCTGAACAGCAAAACGAAATCCAAACGTCCAAAATCTAAAATAAATAAATTCAATACATTTCAAGTTAATGCACGACTTTCTAGTCAAACGAATCTCGCCCCAGTTGTCTGATATTTTGAAGAGGAAACACAGACAGGAGAAGCGGAACGTCTTTGAGCTACACGATATTTTAAGGTGACATAAATGCCTTTTGAAATCCAGAGAAACCAGAAATGTTTATAGGCCGAGCAGATGTAAACACCTTGTGCTGACGTTTAACAGTAGTTCATGAAATCTTACCATACACTTTGAATATATATACATTTCTGCCTTGCTTTTAACAGTCATTCTACATCCCCCTCCCCCCCAGTACGTCTACTGCAAAGAGTAATTTATTGTTTCTCTAGCTCACACACATACAGCAGATGGTCCTCTGGAGACTTTCCATGGGTCTTGCTGAGGTGAAGCTTGATGGCGTGCTTAGTGGCGAACTTACGGATGCAGAGCTGGCAGCGATAAACTGCTCCATTACTGTTACGGTCATCTGGAGATTGCGGAGAGAGGAAGGACTCCAAGGGTACAATTTTCTCAGCGAGTGTGTTAGTGTCCCTAGCAGTCTGTTTCGGGGACATCTTGGCCAGGTCCCTGATTCTGAAACCCAGGTGGGCTTCCAGGTGGCACATGTAAGCTGTTGGGGTTCGGATCTGTGAGGCACAGTCACTACAGAAGAATATAGGCTGACCGGAGTCCAGATTCTTCAGGAACTTGGTTCTGCCCGTTCTCCGTAGCTGGTACTTGACATTTGCAAGCCAGTGGCTGATGGTGGTCATGGAGAGACCTGTGAAACGAGATATGTGCATTCTTTCTTGTGGGCTCAGGTCATTAATGATGAACTTCCCCTCTGAAGTCTGTCTCAGGCTTGAGGCAAACTGGGCCTGCAGAAGGAGGAGGTGCTGCGGGTTCCAGTTGGAGTGGCGACCTTTGCGCTTGTGCCCATGCAGCGACACGTCATCCTCTTCGACTGTTGAGCCCATAACTTCTGTTTTATCTGTGACTCGGGGTCGTGAAGGGGGCTTTGTTACAGGGTGGGACTGTGTCAGGTTTCTAAGCATGTCTGAAATATCTGATAATGCATTTTCATGAAGAGGGCTGGTGGATGTGTAGGGAGACACCACTGCTAGTTTTGCAGGGGTAACAAGCGAGATAGGGGATATCGAGGAGGCCGTGGATGAGGGCGTAAGCGGGGCGGAGCCTGTAGAGCCACCTTTATCACTTTTGCTTTTTGTGAGGTCGATAGGCTGGTCATCGCTGAGCTGACAGAAACTATTATCAACTACACTTTCTGGCTTTTTGGTCTGTAATGGAGAAGCAGCTACTGCGGCCTTCTCAGTCATGCTCTGGCTGAGTCTAGAAAGCAGGCTAAGGGGATCTTGATTTGGCAAAGAGGGTTTGGCTGCTTTCCCCAAATGAATGTTCATTACTGACTGAAGAGCACTTAGTGGGTTGACAAAGGGCTGCTCAGGGGGAGTATGACCAGTGATAATGGCGGTGCTGCATCTCAGCGCAGAGGCAAGAGGAGATTTTACAATGGAGTCTCTCTTGGGTTCTGTTGCTGGGGATGCCCTGTCACTATGGCTTCCCCTATCACTATTGGCTGGAGTGCCTTCCCTCCAATCCCGAGGCGATTCAGCCTCTCCTCCCTTGTGTGAATCTCCAGCATCACTACTGCAAGGGGACAGCTGGTTGTCCCTCTTTGGAGATATCTGCTTAGCCTTTTGCTCCACTTTTGCAACTTTCTCCGTTACTTTTTTAACTAAATCTTCCATTGCTTGAAAGTTGTTGGTGGGAAAGGGGGAGGACTGGCTTAGTGGTGGGGAAACGAGGGGCTGGTTTTTAGCATAAGAGGACAAGGCTCCATCCCCTCCACTGAACAGGAACTTCATCTGGGAATTCTTATCCATGTTGCCCTGTTGGAGTTTGAGAGCACTTGGGAACTGGTAGGCTGCATGGATACTGGGGTAGCCCCCCCAGCTTGGATTTCCACTCTGTGCCTTGTTGATGGCTGATGTCACAGTGTTTTCTAGTGATTTGAGAATATCTAGCCCTCCTTTGGGGCTCTCCTTCAGGTCCTCTTCAGTAAGATAATTATACTTTGAAATGTCAAATTTTTCTTCCTTCTCAACATCCTCCTCCTTACCAACGGCAACTGGAACTTGTTTCTCATTTCCAACAGTTTCTTGCTTGGTGCACTCTTCCTCAACTTCCTCCTTCTTTATCTCCTTTAGAGGTGGGGAGGTGGCAGGGGGAGTTGTGGTGGTTTGAAGAGGTGACGGTGAAAAGGTGGAGGGTGCAAGCGGTACAGACTGGACTCTCTGCTCAGTGGGTGTGTTCACCCGTCCTGGATTGGGGGAGGTAGCTTCAGAGAGTGTTTTTGTTTTTTTAGCCACGGAGCCGGTCATCCTCAGGAAGTGGCCTGTCACCATCATGTGGGTTCTTAACTCTTGGAGTGTGTTGTAGGAACTGCCACACTCCATACACTTGAGGATCTGTAGTTTATTAGACTCAAATTGCCACGTGTAGCTCGCACCGTTCTGGTGGCTGTATCGATTATTCGGTGCGGTGTAGAGGTCGAAGGAAGGTTTCTGTGAGGGTTCGCTCATCTCTCCTTTTGCTTTGGGGGTTCCTTCTCTTGACCGTGGTGCAGATGTGAGGTCCAGACCCACAAGTCCCCTTTTCTTAGAAGACATAATTTTGGTTGCCACAGGTGCCATGGGCTCCTTCAGAGGCACTTTTTGATAGTGTTTAGTCTTGATCATGTGGACACTGAGGTCCTGGAGGGATTCAAAGGAATGGCCACAGTACATGCACTTCAAAACTTTCTGGGCATCCTCCTTCCCTTCCATCTCCATTAGTGAACGCTTACGTGGTTTGGACCAGCGCTTTGCACCACTGCCCGTCTTGTCCTGGTTGTCATCTCTGTAGTGGCCTGTGTCATTCATGTGAACCGTCAGCTCCACCAGGGTATCGTAAGCAGCACTGCAGCCCTTGCAACGAAACTTACTGGCTCCTGTGAAGATTGAACCAAACAGCTTAGGGTTCTGCCTGTGGAGTTGGACCGTGCTGAAGAGGCTGGGCTCAGCTGGAGTAGTTTGCCGACTCTGAGGTGGGTGCTGTTGTAGTGTCTTTGCCACTGCAGACTGGTGCCAGTCATAGCTTCCACTGCTGCAGCTACTACTGCTGCTAGTGCTGTTGCTGCGAGTTTGCTTCTCTGCGGATGCTGAGGGCTGTGGCTGTAGTGGTGTGGGATTCAAGTTCAATGGCGACCACAAAGGGCTGGTCAAGAAACTGGAGTAGATGGCCTTCATTTGTTCTAAAGTGTCAATGCCTATGGGAGGTGTCTTGGCATCAGCACTCTGAGATGCCGTGACCAAGCTGGCCTCAGCTTTTCTAGGGGGGCTTTCAAAGTCTGAGAGGCGGTCACTTGTCTCGCTCACATGTGACTCGCTGTCCATCTCTTGTCCTGAAAGCTCAGCAGCCTCAGCTGATTCATGGTCACATGCCTGCTCCTCAGCAGTCCCTAGATTCTGCTCAAGCTCCTCTTTTATGGAAAGGTCATCGTGAGGTACTGAGGGCAACTCTCCCGCTTCTGCTTCCTCCACCATGCGCTCTGCCCGTTCCTCAGGAGAATAAGCTGCAAGGAGAATGGAGACAAACGAGAGAAGGAAAGAGATGAGTTAAATTGCACAGAGTACATGCTATGTTAGAATAACTGGAGAAAAAGTTTCCCTGCAATGTGTGCCCGAGGACTCCCAGGGATAAATGAGCCATCTGTGTGGGAGCCTTTAAAGCTGAGCTGAGAAATTACAGTCATCCCATTTCACCTCATCAACCGTTGAGGTGTTATTTTCCTCTAGGCGAGCCTGTATTTATATACTACCCCAACCACATGGAACTTATGCCTCCCCTCTTTTCACTCCTTCTATTGGAGGAAAACAAAAAAGAAATATCTTGGCAAAAACATAATGCACCATTTTATTTATCTCAGGGCACAACAGCTTGAAATGAAAACTAAATCTGAAATTAATGAAGCCCAATCTCACTGTGGCATTCTCCTCTGGGGTAATAAATGAGTTGGATCAACCTCCATCTGTCAGTTAATATGTCTGACGCCTCTTCATCTGCCTCCTCTCCGATTACACACAAATGTAGACTGACACACACATGAACACAGGCAAAAAGCATTTCTTAAAAAGTTTGAAGAGAAGGGATGTCAACATTGCCGTTGATAGAACTTTGATGTTGAGCATCATCTGGGCTGCAGGAAGTTCATTCGTTTTTATTATTTATAGTTAGGACAGGTTCAGGACTTGAGTATCAGTCCTTAAAAGCAAAAGACAAAACAGCAAAACAAACAAAATCAAGAAAAATCTTAAGAGGGCAGACATGGTTTAGGGTTCGCTGACATGATGGAAACTCATAAGCAAACCATCCTATTGCATGTTGATGCTCAGCACTCTTACCCCTACTTCACACTGGAGGTGCCAGTGGTGCGGAAAGGCCATGAGTTTTCATTGCGTGCCAGTACACTATGGGGTGTGTGTGTGTGTGTGTGTGTGTGTGGGGGGGGGGGTTTCTCTGCCTTGGTCCTTGCTGGACTTGGGTGACCACAAAATCTGTCAAGACTTCCGCCACCCTCCTCGATTGGCTTGCCAGTCACTCGAGACTTCGAAGGCCACAGTTTGTTTATGCCATCCGCCATTAAACAAGAAGTAGGAAGCCACGTTTGATATGGCGGTTTGAAGTCATCTGATGTTGTTGTAACCGAGCATTCCAGAAAGAGACGGGAGAAGATACAGGACTGTGGTTGCTCAAGAAAAGGTTGATAACCGTGAACTGTCAGGGTCTCTTTATTCAACGGCACCATTAACAACTCCGCTCCAACTTCTGTTTTTTTTTTCTCTTTTCAAACAACACATCCTGTTAGCAGCACCTTCAAAATAAAAGTCCCACAAAAGTGGGTTACATTGTTCTTCTCCACCTCCAGGATTAAAGCGATAGAAACACACAGTTGCACTTCTCAAATGATGCTGGGAATAAACAAGTTGTTAGGTGCCTTGCTTTGACTAATCTACATAATATGAAATTGCATCACTGCAATAGTCTTATTTAGAAAATAACCGGTTTTACACTAAAAACACGTGTGACTTCCTGTCTGGGCGACGAGCTGCTTCTGAGAAGCACCTGGAAATTTCCGCGTTGCGGCCGGTTTGAATTACCACTGCAGACTGTAATGGATTGTATTTGAAGCAGTGACGTTCCGCTGCTGTTCCGCACCGCCGAGGCTTGCAGTGTGAAGTAGGGGTTAATGAAAAGTGAAGAACGTGTGTTTGCGTCTGTGTTTTTGTACCGCGTTGCCTCAGACACAACAAGCCTACCCATCGAACACCAACTCTGCCACCACTCACCCCCAAGTCCCCACTTCCCCATCTCCTGACAACCCCACTCACAAAACTGCTCAACTTGAGGAAAAACAAATAATCTCTGAAAGTAAGGGATGGCCTGTAGACCGCTCGGAGGCCATTTGGATGAGATTATAAACTAAAACAAATGCCACAAAAAGAACCTGCGGATAGATAGGCTGGAATAGTCTGATCACACCCTGTAAAGCTGGTGAATTTTGCCACACACACACACACACACTGTGACTAAATCCTTCAGCCCCCCCTACTCCCCCACCACACATATCCAGTCTAAACAAAAATGTCATAGCTGAAATAAGTCTCATTTCCAGTGCTAACAGCCAATCTCAAAACAGCCATGCGACTGGCGCTGGTCTGATTTGGACCCTGGGGGCACAGTCAGCAGGCAGCCCCACTGTGAGGCCAGCCTAATGGAGACCTGGCAGGTGCGACCCACTCTCCGTCCTCCCAGAGATTTGGTTTGTCACTGGGTATCCATTACCTGCCACTCTCTGCTGATCGGCTCCGACAGCCCTGATCAAAAGATGTCGTCGGGCCCCAGTCCGCTTGGCAGTCGGTGGCATGTCGTTTGTAAAAGGGGCCAAGCAGGGTGTAAATAAAATGACATGATCACTTCCCTGGCCCCTCATGTTCTGGACACAATTATGATAATGTGGACGTGAAGAAAATGGAAGGGAGGGGTGTGGCGGGTGAACGGAGAAGGGGTGACGAGGTAAATGGCTCTTGTCTGGGGTCTCCTGCAGTGCTAAACTTACTCCCAACTCCCTCTTTAGTTTTCTTCCTTGTTAAAAGAGGAAATCCAGCCAGGATCAGGTAATTAACGTGCTTGCGTCCTTAAGGAAGTCAGAGATGTCAGCTTGCATCATAACAGCCTGGCACATCACTTGATCAACTTGTCAAGTCACCTTACTCTTCCTTACCAAGACGACATCGCAAACATCTCTTCACACTTTGTTGATGTTTTATTAAACTACTGCTAGATACAAGATCAAAACAGGCAATCGCATTTCAGAGGTGTTCTGCTTTTGCATCTCAACGTTATGGAAGATGTTGTTAAATGTTATACTAGCGGAGCTGCAGCTCTATGGGCCATTACTAATTTGTTATGAAGTGCAAGCAGAACAGAAAAGGGGGAAAGAAGTCCAAAAGGACCCGCAATAAAAACCTTAGAGTCAAACCGTGCTCCCAGGCAATTTAAAATGCAAAACAAAAACCATTATGTCTGAGCACTATCTGTTAATTTAATCCCCAATGACTGATAATCCATCACACAGGGCGACAACCACATCCAATTATTCTCCCTGCCTTGACTGACAACAGAGGTGATTTATCAAGCTAATAAAAGGTGATGGGAATATAGAGGCTCCCTTGGAATAAATTAGGAATATTCTGAATACAACAATACTCTTGGATGCAGTCTTAACTAATATCTAAGCATATGGTGTGGGGTGAATATACGAATCTTCCCGCTGAATGTGGGTGTGAGAAAGGGAGCGAGTGTGTGCAAGTTCTTGTAATGATAAACCGAGCTGATGCCATGCGGGGGGGGAAGACAAGAATCATTAGGTTCTGTGAATGATTCCTTTGGGGTGGGGCTGGGTAAGGATGGTAGGAGGTGCGTTTTCACACAACCAACATCTCAGTCACAATTCGTGCAAACACAAAAGAATCACGAAATGGAATCTCACATTCAGAATCCACATGCTTCACCTAAAAAAAAATAAAAACACGCCACACTCTCCAATTATAAACAAAGCTAGTCGGTTAGTTATATCCACCCCCTTCACCCGGCACACACACACACACACACACACACACACACACACACACACACACACACACACACACACACACACACACACACACACACACACACACACACACACACACACAGAACTCGTACATGCACGTAGATGCAAGTGATGAGGAAAGACAGTGACATCTTGGCATGCAGGAAGCATTCCTGTGGAGTATCATTTTCATAAACATAAGGGCCACAGACGAGGAGGGAGAGATCATCTGATAGAAATACTGCAGTGCTTCTCTGACGATCTGGAACAAGAGAGAGGGCAGGGACAGGGGGTGATTAGGCAGGAAGGTGCCGAGGCTGCCTCTAAAGCACACTTTCTGTCTCCTTGCCTCTGTCATGCCGCCACTTCTCCTCAGCTGCTGCTGAAAGTCGAACTTCTCTTGATGTTGCGTCTTAAAAACGGGCCTCGTGTGAATAAATAAACTCCTGAATGAACCCCTGAAGAAATCTTTGCACTAGCTCTGCATGTTTAAGCAGTCGTCAGTTGAACAGATAACGGGTCACACGCTTTTTATTTTAAGTAGAAATGTTTTCATAAAAACATTCCAAAGTGTAAATGTGTCAAGCAACAACTAGATGCATTTTTTCCTGTTTAAAATCAATCTCTTGATGAACATCAACTGGAATGTTCCACAGCTGTGGACATGGTCTGGAAGCCCGATCACACCCAGCGGAAGCAGAATAAACAGGATGTGTCATTAGAAAAACTTTACCTGCGTCTGACCTTCTTACTCGTACTTACTTGGTCCAAAATAAATAAATAAATAAATAAATAAATAATACAAGAAAAAAAAACACACAACCTTGCCCGAGACATTAGAATTTAAAAAAGGGCCAGTCTTTGTGCGGCCATCATGAATACATTCATTTGTCTTTTTTCTCCAACAAGATACTGACTAGACAACATGTTTCTCTGTGTAAAATAATCATATTCATAATAATCATGGGAATCTAAAAACATGGTGCAATACTTTGTACCTTAAAAAATGACAAAGAATATTAAAAAGCTGTACAATATTTAGGAAAATTGAATATAAAATGATGCTGTTGCAAAAATAATGCACACATTTATGCTTTACATCTTTATTATACCCATATTTATAGTGATTATTACACACAGTACACAAATATGCAGCTGGAATCTAGGGAAGGGACTGGAAGTTGTCTACATAGGTGGTCTCTTCAAGTTCACTAAAGAAAAAGCTGTACAGCTCTGTTCACAAACGATCAAAAGTAATGATGATTACACGATGTCTAAAGACAGATTTTTGTTTGTTATTATTCAGCATCAAAAGAAAAGTGGAGGTCTGATGTGGTTTTTTAGACATTCCAGACTGCCTGGAGAGACCCTAAGAGGAGCAAATTAAACTGCATCACAGCATGACATGTCTGTTCTGACAT